TTTTAAGACTCAGGACATATGAGAACTTGTACTCATCATGTAACTCAGTAGTGTCCCAAATTTTCTGATCAAGGAGATTATGGGGCCAAAGAGGAAAGTAATCGATGATGTAGAGTGTGCCTAAGGAGAGTCACATGGAGAAAAAACATTCTCTCAGGCTTTCACAGAGAGCACATTGGACAAACAATGGCTGTGACTCATCCGCATGGCTGACATTGACAAAGGTCCTACAATCTGAGGTACAGTATCTCAGGACAAATCCTGAGGGGATTTCACTGACCTTATCAGACCCAAAAGCAACAACTCTTGTTGCATAGGTCCTGCTTTACCTTGGTCTTAACCATTCAGTAGAAAAGTATAATAACGAAATATAAGAAGTAAAGCCAAGCTGTTATGTTGAGCTGTAGGGGACTCAGGTCAACAATTTCTGACATTGCCAGTTAAGCGGAAGACCCAATATTATTATGGGCTACTGGACTCTTTTAGAGTATTTTGCTGAGTTGACACACCTATACTATTTAAATAACAGAACTTAACAAAAAAGGAGGATACAGATGAATGTCATTTTGTATCTGTGTATTCAAAGTGGTTAGGGTAGATATATAGTTACATTCTCTTAATGAATAGAGTGATTTGTTCTAATGGTGTTTGTAAATAGGATATCAAGTCTGCATCTTGTACAGCAATTAACCACTGAGAAGAATGTATGCAGTGTGTTAATTATTGAAACTCTCCTACCAATTTGATTTGAAGCTGTCTTATTGCTATTTGTTTATCAACAAAATTATGGCAAAAAACAATTAAAATCAGTTATAATAGCACTGAGTCATGTGATCTCACACTGGAAATGTTCTAGGAAGTGTCCCAAGGTGGAAGCTTTATTCTGGCAATGACTGTTTGATAACGTCCATTAAGCACAGTTAAGAGAAGGCAAAAACAAACAACTGTGATCCCACTAAATTACATGTCCTGCACTGTTTAGTGCCCTATAATATATTAGAGATAAAGTTTATGATGCAGGAGAATATGTACAGAATATTATGGTACCAGGTACTATCCAAATATATGAGCCACTTGAACAACTAGAGAGCAAGGGACCTGGGTAGACATTTCTGAAACAAAAACATGCTGGAGGTCAATGGGTATATAAGAGGCTCCATGTGAATACTGAGCAGGGAAGCACAAGGCAAGGTCATTGTCTGTACACACATCCCTACAGTTATTATGATGATGAAGTTAGGTAACTGTTTCAGAATTTGGAGGGAAGAGAACTGTGGCACACTGTAAAGTGAAAGTAAAAATCATAAGGAAATTCCTTAGGGCATTAACATAGGAGTCCTCAGAAGCACTCCTAGGTGTATACCCAAAGAAAGGAAATCAATGTGTTGAAGAGACAGCTATGGTCTGTCATTTATTGTAGCAGAAACTCTACCGATATATGGAGTGAACCTATGAGATGCTTAGAAGGGATGTGTAAAGAAAGTGTAAGGTCACCAGAAAATCTACTCATCCTTTAAAAAGAGGAAAATTATATAATTTGTGACAAGGTGCATAAAACTAGAGATGTTATAAGTAAAATATTACATACACAGAAAAATAAATATTTCACAATTTCACTGAAGTATGGACTGTTGAAAAACTTGAGCTGAGAGAAGTCTGTGTACAAGAGATCAGAAAACCTGGGTTATCTTAAACCCTGATGCTTCTGATGAAGGCAGAGGAGGTGATAGCCTCTGAGCAATGCTGATATCTAGGGCCTGGCAGCCCATGCAGCTGCCTTCACACTGTCAGGGAATTACCTCACAGAGCATCGCCCAGGCCCTGGCACTGCAGGACGCGAGGCCTAAACACAATGAGTTGCCCTGGGTAAATTGGATCTACTGCTTTCATGAAAAAGATTTACTTCCATGATGAGAAAGGGTTTGTTGGTGACTATGTCATCTACACCATTAGTAGTGACTAGAAAAATGTGTGTAAGACTCATGATTGTATGCCACACACACACACACACACACACACACACTCATATAACTGCACATATGCGTTTATTCATAGAATCTTATGAAGAAGCTGAGAAAGAGAGACACATATTAGTCCCATAAAGAAGGCTACCAGTGGCTGGGGAATAACTCAGTAGAATAAACGCTTGCGTGGCAAGCGGAAGGGCCTGAGTTCAATCCCCAGTTCCGCCAAACAAACAAACAATAAAAAAAAAAAAAGAAAAGAAAGCTATCAATTCAAAGTAAATACTTCAATACCATTATATCATTATTTAAAATGAGATACCTAGTCCTTTTATACATCAAATGTTCTACTTTATTTTTTTCACGCAATTCTGTTGAGATTTAGCCACATTCCTCACAAATGACAGAAAACAAAAAACCGACAAAAAAAAGCCTGTTTCTCAAATTTTACTCCAGAAGAAGCTGAAGAAATGCTCTGGAGGTAGCATGAAGTAGAAAAAAAAAAAAAAAAAAAAAAAAAAAGCTCCTCAAAAATGAAAGAGAGATCATAGGTAGATAACTCATACAACCCCCAGGACAATTTTCATCTTCTCTATATAGTCATTCTCCAGCCAGTAACCTTTTAATTGCCCATTTAGCTTCTTTGTTTCTCAATGTGTAGATCAAAGGATTAAGGGAAGGTGTCACTATAGTATAGAAAAGAGTGAGAAATTTTTCACTGTTGTGTGTGTACTTGCTCTTCGGCTGAATATAGACACAAATTGCGGTCCCAAAGAACAAGACCACAACAATCAAGTGGGAACCACATGTCCCAAATGCCTTCCTCCTGCCTTCTCTGACCTTTATCTTCAGCACACTCCTAACAATGAAGCAGTAGGAGACCAAAATGAGTCCCAGAGGCGTCACCAAATACAAGACAGTCGCTACAGAGAGTTCATTTTCCAGGAAGGTTGTGTCTTCACAGGCGATTTGAATCAGGGCAGGCACTTCACACGTGAAATCGTCCACCCTGTGATGGCTGCAGAGATGCAAGTGGAAAACAAGGCTGGTCTGCACGGTGGACTCCACAAAACCGCTGATCCAGGCCAGGGCCGCTAGACGCTGGAGAAGCTTTGGGTGCATGATAACGCCATAGTGGAGGGGGCGGCAGATGGCATTGAAGCGGTCATAGGCCATCACACTCAGCAGCACACACTCGGTAGAGCCCAG